CTTTCACATTAGAGATGCTATACCGATGATGATACTTTTCAAGACGCTAGTGCTCTCTAGAGCTCTCTAGAGTGGAGTACTACTGCACAATGACAGCCCCTTTCAAAGCTGGAGAAATTGCTGACCTGGAGAGCGTGCAGAGATCCTTTACTGCTAGAATTCACTTAGTAAAATATCTTAACTACTGGGACCGACTAAAGAGCCTAAATCTATATTTTCTTGAGCGCAGGTGGATATACATAATAATTTACACGTGGAAAATAGTCGAGGGGCTGGTCCCAAACCTGCACACAGAAATAACACCACATGAGACCAGAAGACATGGCAGGATGTGCAGAATACCCCCGTTGAAAAGCAGAGGTGCATAAGGTACTCTGAATGAGAATCCTATCAACATCAGAGGTCCGAGACTGTTCAACACACTTCCACTACACATAAGGGGCATAACTGGACGACCCCTCACAGTGTTCAAGAGAGAACTGAATAAGCACCTCCAAAGGATACCTGATCAACCAGACTGTGATTCACACGTCAGGCTGCGAGCAGTCGCGTCCAACAGCCTGCGTTAACTAGTCCAGCAACGAGGAGACCTGGTCGATGACCGGGCCGCGGGGACGCTAAGCCCCGGAAACGCTTCAAGGTAACCTCAAGGTAGCTTTGAGACGATCCTAATAATTTTGGTGCTTTATCGCGTCTATGTATGCCGAATATATTCTCTGCGTTCCCTCTACTTCAGCCATCTCTCCTGGTCTGAAGGGGTGAGTGAGTACTGAGCAGTACTCACGATGGGACAACACAAGTGACTAAGAGTACAACCATTGTGATGGGATCCCTGGATTTGAAAGTTCTCGTAATCCATCCTATCATTTTTCTGAATGACGCAATATTTGCTTGGTTATGCTCCGTAAACGTTAGGTCGTCAGACAATATTATTCCCAAATCCTTTACATGTTGCTTTCCTACTATGGGCACATTTGATTGTGTTTTGTACCCCCTGTTTTATGTTTAAGGTCCTCATTTTTGCCTTACGTGAGTACCTGGAATTTATCACTGTTAAACATCATGTTATTTTTTGCTGCCAAGCCAAAAACGTTATTAATATCTGCTTGTAGTTTTTCAATGCCTTCAACAGAGGTCATTTTCATGCTGATTTTTGTGTCATCTGCAAAGGACGATACGAAGCTGTGACTTGTATTTGAGTCTATAACTGATATGAGAATAAGGAAAAGCAGTAGTGCAAGGACTGTACCCTGAGATACAGAGCTTTTAACTGCGCTTGGACTCGATTTTGTATGATTGACTGTTACTCATTGTGTTCTGTTCGACATAAAACTGAGTATCCACCGTCCTACTTTACCAGTTATTCCCATTGACCTCATTTTGTGTGCTATCACTCCATGGGTCACATTTATCGAATGCCTTTACGAAATCCGTGTATTCACCTGCATTCTGTTTTTCTTCTAATGCCTCAGTGATTTTGTCGCAGTGGTCAAGTAGCTGTGAGAGGCATGATCTTCCCGCTCGAAATCCATGTTGGCCTGGGTGGTTGTGAAGATCATTGGTCTCCATGAAACTAGTGACCTGACTCCTAATCACTCTCTCAAATACTTTTATTATGTGGGACGTTAGTGCAACTGGTCTATAATTCTTTGCCAATGCTTTGCTCCCTCCCTTGTGTAGAGGGGCTATGTCTGCTGATTTAAGCCCATTGCTAGCTTTCAGTGTACCGTCACGTCCAGCTCTCAGTGTACCGTCACGTCCAGCACTCAGTGAACCGTCACGTCCAACACTCAGTGTGCTAGGGGTGACGGTACTATCGTCAGGATAGTCCCTGACACAAGGGACTATCAAGACCAACACTAGGGACTATCAAGTCCAACACTAGGGACTATCAAGACCAACACTAGGGACTATCAAGACCAACACTAGGGACTATCAAGACCAACACTAGGGACTATCAAGTCCAACACAAGGGACCGAGGGGGGGGGGCGCCAGGGGGTCCTGTACTGGGGCCGGTGCCTCAGAGGCGCCATATTTGTAGTCAGAAGATAAGGAGGAGAAATACTGTCGAGGGAAGGAGGAGGAGGAGGTGGGAGGGGGGTGTGGGAAGGGGTGGGAGAGGGAAAGGTAAAGAGAGGGAGGGGGAACACGAGGAAAACCCACGCGGTGATGGGAGAGGAAGAGTGTGAAGGGGGTGGGAGGTATCTGGGAGTTTGAAGGGGGTGGGAAGGGGTCTATTTAGAAAAAAAGGTAGTGTGGTGGTGGGAGTGTTAAGGGAGGTAAGGTAAGGTATAATAGGGAAAAACTAGGGGAGGCAGGAGTTGAGAGATAAAGGGATGGGCAAATGGAGAAGTCTGAGAGGCTGAGGAAAGGGAAGGGATGGATGAAGGAAAGAGGAGAGGGAGGGAGGGAAGGAAGGGGGGGTGGAGAAGGAGAGGTGGGAAGGGGAAGACGCCCTCCACAACCCTGCAAGAAAAGAGATGACTCCAACATTAAGATATTCGTCTTTCCTTGGATGTTGAGAAATATCCGCTTGGCTCTTCCATCTTCTTGCTGTTTCTTATCGTGAAGAATTATTCTTAACTTCTCCTTCTTATTTACCTCTTTATTTTTTGTTTATTTTTTGGGCTGACCTATTAATATAGGTTCTCCTGCCGTCTCTACTTCAGATGTTTGGAGGTGATCGTCGATCATCTGCACATTCGTTCGACAAGACGGACGAATGTGCAAGTTTAAACACATGCTTGTATGTGGACTCACCTATTTGTGCTTGCAGGATCGAGCATCGGCTCTTGGATCCCGCCTCTATCACACACACACTGACAAATCCCTTGTCAGTGTGTGTGTGTGTGTGCGTGTTTAAACACATGCTTGTGTCATGCTCAAATCACTTGTGCTGTCCCGTCTTGAGTACTGCTCAGTACTCACTCCCATCCCCCTGCCACTCACACTTCTAACATGGATGAAAATTTTTCTGACTGATAGAAAAATGAGGGCAGTGATCAGAGGCAATGTATCGGACTGGAGAAATGTCACAAGTGGAGTACCACAGGGTTCAGTTCTTGCACCAGTGATGTTTATTGTCTACATAAATGATCTACCAGTTGGTATACAGAACTATATGAAGATGTTTGCTGATGATGCTAAGATAATAGAAAGAATAAAAAACTTAAATGATTGTCATGCCCTTCAAGATGACCTGGACACAATAAGTACATGGAGCGCCACTTGGCAAATGGAATTTAATGTTAATAAATGCCATGTTATGGAATGTGGAATAGGAGAACATAGACCCCACACAACCTATATATTATGTGAGAAATCTTTAAAGAATTCTGATAAAGAAAGAGATCTAGGGGTGGTTCTAGATAGAAAACTATCACCTGAGGACCACAAAGAATATTGTGCGAGGAGACTATGCCACGCTTTGTAACTTCAGAATTGCTTTTAAATACATGGATGGCGATATACTAAAGAAATTGTTCACGACTTTTGTTAGGCCAAAGCTAGAATATGCAGCGGTTGTGTGGTGCCCATATGTTATGAAGCACATCAACAAACTGGAAAAGGTGCAAAGACATGCTACTAAGTGGCTCCCAGAACTGAAGGGCAAGAGCTACGAGGAGAGGTTAGAGGCATTAAATATACCAAAACTAGAAGACAGAAGAAAAAGAGGTGATATGATCACTACATACAAAATAGTAACAGGAATTGTTAAAATCGATAGGGAAGATTTCCTGAGACCTGGAACTTTAAGAACAAGAGGTCATAGATTTAAACTAGCTAAACACAGATGCCGAAGAAATATAAGAAAATTCACTTTCGCAAACAGAGTTGTAGACGGTTGGAACAAATTAGGTGAGAAGGTGGTGGAGGCCAAGACCGTCAGTAGTTTCAAAGCGTTATATGACAAAGAGTGCTGGGAAGACGGGACACCACGAGCGTAGCTCTCATCCTGTAACTACACTTAGGTAATTACATACACACACACACACTGGGACTAGGCGATAGGAGACCAAAGGGACAGTACTCAATGAAGGGGAACTGCCTACCTGTGACGACGCGAGAAAGAGACCTGGGCGTGGACGTAACACCTAATTTATCTCCTGAGGCACATATAAATAAGATAACGACAGCAGCGTACTCTACACTGGCAAAAATTAGAACATCATTCAGAAATCTAAGTAAAGAGGCCTTTAGGGCGCTTTACACTGCCTAAGTGAGGCCAGTCTTAGAGTATGCCGCCTCATCATGGAGTCCTCATCTGAAGAAGCATATAAGGAAACTAGAAAAGGTTCAGAAGTTTGCAACGAGACTCGTCCCAGAGTTACGAGGTATAGGGTATGAAGAGTGCCAGAAGGAACTGTGCCTTACGACACTAGAAAAAAGAAGGGAGGGAGGATATGATAGGAATTTATAAAATACTCAGGGGAATTGACAGAGTGGACATAGACGAAATGTTCACACGGAATAGTAACAGAACGAGGGGACATGGGTGGAAGCTGGAAACTCAGATGAGTCACAGAGATGTTAGGAAGTTTTCTTTTAGTGTGAGAGTAGTGGAAAAATGGAATGCACTTAAGGAACAGGTTGTGGAAGCAAACTCTATTCATAATTTTAAAACTAAGTATGATAGGGAAATAGGACCGTAGTCATTGCTGTAAACAACCGATGGCTGGAAAAGCGGGATCCAAGAGTCAATGCCTGATCCTGCAGGCACAAATAGGTGAGTACAAATAGGTGAGTACGCACACACACACACACACACACACACACACACACACACACACACACACACACACACACACACACACACACACACACACACACACACACACACACACACACACACACACACACACACACACACACACACACACACACACACACACACACACACACACACACACACACACACACACACACACACACACACACACACACACACACACACACACAGTCCCACACACACACAGGCACAAATAGGTGAGGGTCGCACTGGGAAGGGTCGCTGGGGAGTCCCACTGGGGAAGGGTCGCTGGGGAGTCCCACTGGGGAAGGGTCGCAGGGGAGTCCCACTGGGGAAGGGTCGCAGGGGAGTCCCACTGGGGAGGTCGCTGGGGGTCGCTGGGGAGTCCCACTGGGGAAGGGTCGCTGGGGAGTCCCACTGGGGAAGGGTCGCAGGGGAGTCCCACTGGGGAAGGGTCGCTGGGGAGTCCCACTGGGGAAGGGTCGCAGGGGAGTCCCACTGGGGAAGGGTCGCAGGGGAGTCCCACTGGGGAAGGGTCGCAGGGGAGTCCCACTGGGGAAGGGTCGCAGGGGAGTCCCACTGGGGAAGGGTCGCTGGGGAGTCCCACTGGGGAAGGGTCGCTGGGGAGTCCCACTGGGGAAGGGTCGCAGGGGAGTCCCACTGGGGAAGGGTCGCTGGGGAGTCCCACTGGGGAAGGGTCGCTGGGGAGTCCCACTGGGGAAGGGTCGCTGGGGAAGGGTCGGGGAGTCCCACTGGGGAAGGGTCGCTGGGGAGTCCCACTGGGGAAGGGTCGCTGGGGAGTCCCACTGGGGAAGGGTCGCTGGGGAGTCCCACTGGGGAAGGGTCGCTGGGGAGTCCCACTGGGGAAGGGTCGCTGGGGAGTCCCACTGGGGAAGGGTCGCTGGGGAGTCCCACTGGGGAAGGGTCGCAGGGGAGTCCCACTGGGAGTCCCACTGGGGAAGGGTCGCTGGGGAGTCCCACTGGGGAAGGGTCGCTGGGGAGTCCCACTGGGGAAGGGTCGCTGGGGAGTCCCACTGGGGAAGGGTCGCTGGGAGTCCCACTGGGGAAGGGTCGCAGGGGAGTCCCACTGGGGAAGGGTCGCTGGGAGTCCCACTGGGGAAGGGTCGCTGGGGAGTCCCACTGGGAGTCCCACTGGGGAAGGGTCGCAGGGAGTCCCACTGGGGAAGGGTCGCAGGGGAGTCCCACTGGGGAAGGGTCGCTGGGGCTGGGGATGGGTCGCTGGGGAGTCCCACTGGGGAAGGGTCGCAGGGGAGTCCCACTGGGGAAGGGTCGCTGGGGAGTCCCACTGGGGAAGGGTCGCTGGGGAGGGGAGTCCCACTGGGGAAGGGTCGCAGGGGAGTCCCACTGGGGAAGGGTCGCTGGGGAGTCCCACTGGGGAAGGGTCGCAGGGGAGTCCCACTGGGGAAGGGTCGCTGGGGAGTCCCACTGGGGAAGGGTCGCAGGGGAGTCCCACTGGGGAAGGGTCGCTGGGGAAGGGTCGGGGAGTCCCACTGGGGAAGGGTCGCTGGGGAGTCCCACTGGGGAAGGGTCGCTGGGGAGTCCCACTGGGGAAGGGTCGCTGGGGAGTCCCACTGGGGAAGGGTCGCTGGGGAGTCCCACTGGGGAAGGGTCGCAGGTCGCTGGGGAGTCCCACTGGGGAAGGGTCGCTGGGGAGTCCCACTGGGGAAGGGTCGCAGGGGAGTCCCACTGGGGAAGGGTCGCTGGGGAGTCCCACTGGGGAAGGGTCGCAGGGGAGTCCCACTGGGGAAGGGTCGCAGGGGAGTCCCACTGGGGAAGGGTCGCAGGGGAGTCCCACTGGGGAAGGGTCGCTGGGGAGTCCCACTGGGGAAGGGTCGCTGGGGAGTCCCACTGGGGAAGGGTCGCAGGGGAGTCCCACTGGGGAAAGTCCCACTGGGGGGTCGCAGGGGAGTCCCACTGGGGAAGGGTCGCAGGGGAGTCCCACTGGGGAAGGGTCGCAGGGGAGTCCCACTGGGGAAGGGTCGCAGGGGAGTCCCATGAAGAACTAAACAGGCTTCAGAGTTGATCTGATAAGTGGCTTTTGGAATTTAAGACACGCAAGTGTAAAGTGATGAAAAGGGGGGATCAGAGGCATTAGACCCGTGTGTGGGGACACTGCTACACCATGAAGGGGGAACTAAACAGTTAAATGTATAAATACCTTAGAGTAAACCTAAAATATAGTCATACTTCAGGAACACGTACGAATAGGATAATGCTAATTCCATACTCTAAAGTACTTCAAAAAATCACTATGGACCATCTACAAGAACCGCAGCAACACAAGTCCAGGTGTAGGGAGAGTTACCAGAGCGGCGAGACATCACAACACAGGTTGTTATGTCACTGGTCACTATTTAGACCTAACTTAATGCAGATTAATATGAATGATTAATATAAATCTCTCGGAAGGAAATGATTCCTTAATATCAATATATGTTGATGACGAGCAGCTATGAGGGGAGAAACACACAGAGGGGAAACTGCTAGAAAATACAAGAGGATCTTAGCAAACTGAATGGTCTAAACAAATTAGCAGCTACAGTTTAACTCAAGTAAAGGGAAAATAATGAGCCATGATCCCGCAAACCGCGACACATCGGACCACATGAGGCGGGACCAGAGAGCCAAAGCTCAACCCCCGGCAAGTACAACTAGGTGAGTATACACGTGTTTCAAAACTCTTCTGATGAGGTAACGAAAAAAAATGCCTGTAAGTCGTCACTGGGTCCAGCGCCTCACACACATACAGGATAACATCATCGGTGTATGCAAGCTCAGCTTCCTTCACAGACACTTCAATAAGAACTCCTTCAGGGCCCTGCATTCCATCCATGTCAACCCATCTCCTGAAGATCAAACACCACCGTAGAATTCATACCTTGTCAAACACAGAATTTTGAAAATCCAGAGCCATGACACCAGACCAGTCCCAGGGCCGAGGGGCTTGAGTTACACGGAAAGAGAAAAGGAACTAAATTTCACTTTATTAGATGAGCGATAAAACCGGGCGAGATATAATTACCACATCCAAAATACTCACGATAACTCGTACCGGAACTGCGAGGATTAAAATGAGAAGAAAAGATAATGGAGCTAAACCTCATCACACTTGAAGGAAGACGGAATAGAGACATGACAACAACATATAAAATTTTCAGGGGAAATTAGTATGGATGATAAAGAGGCTACGAGGACGGAGTGAAGAGTAGTGAGTAAGGATATTGAGTGAGAGTAGTAGTAGTAGTAGTAGTATTAGTAGGCATCCATCAGTCTCAGGAGACTATGGAGTTGCGCTCTGGTTGTCGGTCTGGAGTGGCCTCTCCAGGGCGTAAAGCCAGGGTTGGTTGATACGGGGAAGAAGCTGTCACCCATGCAGCAGGTCGACACCCCCTCCACGGCGCCGAATGTCTCCAATGGGATGGCAAACACCAATACGACTGGTTTCAGCGCCGTCGCCGGAACTGTCAGAACGAGGTTGAAGGCAACAACTGAGTAAGAGTAGTGAGTAAGAGTAGTGAGTAAGAGTAGTGAAAAAGAATACTGAATGAGAGTAGTGATTAAGAACATTCGGTAAGAGTAGTGAAAAAGAATACTGAATGAGAGTAGTGATTAAGAACATTCGGTAAGAGTAGTGAATAAGAGTATTGAATTAAAGCAGTGAATAAGAGTATTGAAAGAGTAGTGAATAAGAGTATTGAAAGAGTAGTGAATAAGAGTATTGAAAGAGTAGTGAATAAGATTATTGAAAGAGTAGTGAATAAGAGTATTGAAAGAGTAGTGAATAAGAGTATTGAAAGAGTAGTGAATAAGAGTATTGAAAGAGTAGTGAATAAGAGTATTGAAAGAGTAGTGAATAAGAGTATTGAAAGAGTAGTGAATAAGAGTATTGAAAGAGTAGTGAATAAGAGTATTGAAAGAGTAGTGAATAAGAGTATTGAAAGAGTAGTGAGATTGAAAGAGTAGTGAATTGAAACAATACTGCGTACATGGACATTGAAACTAAATACAGTATTGAAAGAGTAGTGAATAAGAGTATTGAAAGAGTAGTGAATAAGAGTATTGAAAGAGTAGTGAATAAGAGTATTGAAAGAGTAGTGAATAAGAATACTGCGTACATGAACATGAAACTAACTACAGGAAGGAGTTTTAAAGGCAAAAATACACTAAATACATAAATAAGCTTACATAACAGGGAACAAAGTGCCTGGGAGTTCCTTACATATAACAAAATAGACATCCAGTAAGGCGGGGCTCATGAGCTAATGCTCAACCCTGCAAAAAAACCAGTTAGATGTGTACACATAGGTGAGCATGCAGACTCCAGGATTTGAGAGAATGGATCATGCTTTGGCGCCAGGATGACATTTTCTCCTTGACTATCAAGTGAATTTGCAAGCACAAAAGAGTTATTTTCTGCCTTCAAAATATGTCCTAAAATCGACGTGTGTGTGTGTGTGTGTGTGTGTGTGTGTGTGTGTGTGTGTGTGTGTGTGTGTGTGTGTGTGTGTGTGTGTGTGTGTGTGTGTGTGGTGTGTGTGTGTGTGTGTGTGTGTGTGTGTGTGTGTGTGTGTGTGTGTGTGTGTGTGTGTGTGTGTGTGTGTGTGTGTGTGTGTTGTATTTTAATTTAGAAAGTTCATTCTGCGATACAATACGTTTTCTCGAGTCCTGTATGAGAAAGAATTTTCCGAGAGCCCGGATGTTGCACCCAACGCCCAGTTTGTTCTGCAATGTTCCTTATCAACCTTCATACAGGCTTAAGCTTGTCCCCTTTCATCTGCGTCCGGTGTGTTCTGTCTGGCGCCGTGTTTGTTCTGGTTGTCAAACATCCCTTCACCTGAGTGTCACCTGCGCTCCTCCTCCACACCAAGACATTAGGAAATAGAAGAGAGAGAGAGAGAGAGAGAGAGAGAGAGAGAGAGAGAGAGAGAGAGAGAGAGAGAGAGAGAGAGAGAGAGAGAGAGAGAGAGAGAGAGAGAGAGAGAGAGAGAGAGAGAGAGAGAGAGAGAGAGAGAGAGAGAGAGAGAGAGAGAGAGAGAGAGAGAGAGAGAGAGAGAGAGAGAGAGAGAGAGAGAGAGAGAGAGAGAGAGAGAGAGAGAGAGAGAGAGAGAAAGAGAGTCAATAGAGAGACTAGAGAAGAGAGAGAGAGAGAGAGAGAGAGAGAGAAGAGAGAGAGAGAGAGAGAGAGAGAGAGAGAGAGAGAGAGAGAGAGAGAGAGAGAGTAGTAAGAGGCGTAGGGAGAGAGCCTTCAGACATTACACTGCCGTTAGCAAAAAGGGTAAGAAGTAGGACTACCATTGGTACTGCCAGAACAACCTGTTACCACTTCCACTGATGCGACTATTGCTGCATCCTAGGGATCATCACAGTGTGGTCCTCTTACCCAGTGGCCACAATGTCCATTATCCAAGAGGAACGTTGAGTCAAGGTTGAAGCAAGGCTAATTCAACGTAGCTTGCTTGCTTCACAGCTTGATTCACGCGATGTACTTGCATCCAAGGGTTAACTACCTGGGCGTGCTTGCTTCACAGGCTTGACTCACCTTATCAGAGAAGAGAGGTGAAGTCTGGACTCTCATGCTGGTAATGTCTTGTTCCTTTTCAGCAAGTCATGAAGGGATCAGGTCGCCTGGGTGTGTCGAGGGGGGGGGGGGAGAGTGAGGGGGGAGAGTGAGGGGGAGAGTGAGGGGGGAGAGTGAGGGGGAGAGTGAGAGAGATGGCGTGGGTGAAGAGAGGTGAGGGAGAGATGGTTATATATAGAGAGGGAGAGAGAGGGAGAGGGAGAAAGAGGGAGAGAGAGGGAGAGAGAGATTTGGAGAGTGAGGACATGGGTGTTCCCCACTTACAGAGTTGTGCTTGTAGGTAATGGGCTGCAGCTCTTGGACCCGGCCGCTTAACTTTGAACATCCCTCTATGGTTCAGCTGTATCTTCGTTTGGCGATGTGGTGCCTTGAAGGGCTTTCTCCTCCTCCTCCTGGAGGTCATTCATCTTACTCACCATCACTTGCAGTGACTTACTCATCATCTTTGCTGCTCTTACAGTGAAGGAACAGTCTCTCTTCTGCTCATCACTGGTTAACAGTTCGTCTTCCACCTTCCCAATATTAACATTGTCTAACCAATAGCAATAAACTGTATTTGCCAAGCTTTCTTGTATTTCAAAAGTCTATCTAAATCGGCTTGCAGCAATTTTGAATGTATTTCTGACTTCTCGTTCTGTTTTATTTTTGTATCTTCTGCATATACACAAATGTTGCTCTTCAATGCTGTACCTAAATCGTTTATGTATCCCACAAAAGCTCCACAAACGTTTCTGAGAAAGCTTTTGTGAAGCCTGGACTCATGTGCTATGTTAGGGTCGAGGTACACAATGTCATAATGTTTCCACTATCGTTTGAAATATGCTGGAAAAGTACGACAGTAAATTGGTTAATCTGTGATTTTTTTAAGTATAAACGAATGGCATTTGCAATTATCAATTTAAGGAATCTATATCTATAAAATAGAATGTCTGTTTGGCCAAGGATGGAGGCCAGTTGCTTGGGCTTTGCATCACCCGACTTTGCAGGATGATACATGAGTAGTAGGGGACTGTCATAGGTTGGTCGGAGTCAGTCGCTTTGGCTCCCTTTAAGAAATGTCTGCTCCTATTGTGACTGAAATTGAGGTTTGTGTTTTATATAATTTTCACAGTTTTCCGCTGTTCATAATTGTTCAAGTTCTGAGGGGGGGGGGAGATGGAGATTGATGTAGAGAGGGAAGATGGAGGGAGTCAGGAGAGAGAAAGAAGGGATTGATTTTTAATTGTTGCCGCCGGAGGCGGCCAGTTTATTGTGCACCCCATACTCATCCTGTGAGCGGTAGCGCAAAAAGGATTACAGAGGGCACAGAATGTCTTTATCAAACCTCAACGGAGATAATTACATTAACAATTTCATCTATCCTTCATACCATATAATTACAATGTTAGCCAGTTACAGAGCATGTTCTAGTTTAAGAGCGATATATTTACAGTGAGAGATCCGGGCATCCCCAGGTACCCCATTTAACTTTCCCATAACTGACGCTAGTTCGATGCAAGTGATCAAGTCTCTCATCTTAGAAAACGGCACCACATTAACAACCCTCCACGATTTAGTAATCTGCTCGACTCTAACGATTTTTAAATAAGATGAAGATCTAAGTAATTTCATCTATAAATCCTTCGAGGGAACATGGCAAACACCTCGTCTGGCCTTGGCGACGTATTGGTCTCTAATGTTTCTTTATGTATAATAATTTCCTCCCTGGTAACCACCAAATTAGACGATTTGTCCCCATCACCGCCGACATAGACGTGTCCGGCTCCAGGTAAAATAGCAAGTTCTTCTCTAGTAAATACAAACTCAAAGTACACAGAATATCACCCATTTCTTCGCCATTATCAGTTATCTAACCTGTCTCACTTATCGGTGGCACAGTGTTCTCACTAGTCTGTGCTGGATTTGTCTGGAAGAATCCTTTAATTGTCGTCTTTGTCTGCTCTCCAACAAATATTTCACGAATTCTCTTAGTTTTTATTCTTCATTGTGAGTCTGTTCTTGTCAGTTTGATCAAGTATTGTCCTGGATAAACTTTCTCATTCATAATACATTTGTACATTTACCCGATAAGATCCTTAAGTCTCATGTCAATCTATTTTTGGTCATTAAGATTGAACCTAATTAATTTACATATCATACTATATCCCTGAAGTTCAATATGAATGTTTTAAATGTGCTAAAATTTGCATGAACATGACAGTCCTGTGTCAAGTCTACTTCTCGACCAGTATTAAGTCACTCACCGATGGGAGACATGAGACACGTCAGTGAGACTTCCCCTTCCCCTCCCCCCTTCCCTTCCTTTTCCCCGTTCCATGCTCTCGTCAGGAAACTCTATATTCACCAGTAATAACGTCTTAAACAATCAATATCAGAAACTGACGAGCCATAGATAAAAATTCTGTCACAAGTTGTTCATGTTGTATTAAATCAAATTTCCTTTGTTATCACTGATGCCCAACTCACTTCCTATTTCTATGTAATCTTTTAGTATCTTCCCTTTCCTCTCTATTTGGAAACCAATTTTTCCTGTGTTGGCTCATGACTTATGCTATAAAACCTATTGGCAATTTTATAACCTATTCTGTCTTCTCAGGAAAATATTATGTCTATTCAAAAAATATGTTGTCTATTCTTGAAAACTTTCTACTCTTTCCAAATTTCAATTAGCGTAAGTGAAGAGTGAAGTGAAAAGTTGAAAGCTACTGCAGCTGTAGTTTTCGTATCAAACTTTTCATATTTTAGTATCAAAGGTGAGATGTTGTCCTTGTTCACATCTTTCATCATATTTAGCTTCTCAACTTATTTCCTTGCTTCCTCTGGTGGATTGTAATAATAAATATGTGTAATGAATCACTTATGTCTCCCGACATAAGTCATTCATTAAAGATCCTTGCCAGAGACACGCTGAGGGCCTGTGCTGCTTCTTTTATTATTCACGGTGATACTTAGTCGTATGTGTGTGTGTACTCACCTATTTGTGCCTGAAGGAGCGAGCGTTGACTCTTGAATCCCGTCTTTCTACCCATCGGTTGTTTACAGCAATGACTCCGGTCCTATTTCCCTATCATATCAAGTTATAAAATTATGAATAGAGTTTGCTTCCACAACCTGCTCCTTAAGTGCATTCCATTTTTCCACTACTCTCACGTTAATAGAAAACTTCCTAACATCTCTGTGACTCATCTGAGTTTCCAGCATCCACCCATGTCCCCTCGTTCTGTTAGTATTCCGTGTGAATATTTCGTATATTTCCACTCTGTCAATTTCTCTGAGTATTTTATACATTCCTATCATATCTCCCTCTCCCTTCTTTTTTCTAATGTCGAAAGGTTCAGTTCCTTCAGGCGCTCTTCATATCCCATCCCTCGTAACCCTGGGACGAGTCTCTTCGCAAACTTCTGAACCTTTTCGAGTTTCCCTACGTGTTTCTTCAGCTGGGGGCTTCATGATGGGCGGCATACTCTAAGACTGGTCTCACGTAGATAGTGTAAAGCGCCCTATATGCCTTCTTACTTAGGTTTCTGAATGATGTTCTAAGTTTTGCCAGTGTAGAGTACGCTGCTGTCGTTATCTTATTTAAATGTGCCTCAGAAATTAAATTAGGTGCTACGTTGGGTCTCTTTCTTGAATCGTTACAGGTAGGCAGTTCCCCTTCATTGTGTACTGTCCCTTTGGTCTCCTATCAATTAATCCCATTTCAATTATTTTGATATAATCCAAAATGATTATTTTGAAATAATCCAAAATTATTATTTTGGAGGATCCTACAATCCTCATCTGTCACAACTCTTCTCATTAATTTTGCGTCATTCGCGAACATCGACATGTAGGAATCTACTCATGTAAACATATCATTAACGTATAATAGAAATAGAATTGGACCCAGCACCGATCCTTGAGGTACTCCACTCGTTACTGTTCGCCAATCCGACTTCTCGCCCCTTGCCGTTACTCTCTGGCTCCTTCCTGTTAGGTAGTTCCTCACCCATGCTAGGACCTTTCCGCTTACTCCCGCTTGCCTCTCATGTTTGAATAAGTCTCATGTGCGATACTGTATCTAAGGCTTTTTGGCAGTCAAGAAATATGCAGTCTGCCCAACCTTCTCTGTCCTGCCTTATCCTCGTTATTTTATCATAGAATTCCAAAAGGTTTGTTAGGCAAGATTTCTCTTTCCAGAACCCATGTTGATGTTTGTTTACAAACCTAATGTTATCCAGGTGTGCAAGCAGTCGTAGCCTAATTATTCTTTCAAGTATTTTGTAGGGGATGCTTGTCAGTGATACAGGTCTATAGTTAAGTGCCTCTTTCCTATCTCCTTTCTTGAAAATCGGTACATTTGCCTTCTTCCAGCAACTGGGCAATTCTCCTGCTATAAGTGATTCATTAAAGGTCCTTGCCAGAGGCATGCTGAGGGCCTGCGCTGCCTCTGTTAGTATCTATGGTGATACTTTGTCTGGTCCAACCACTTTAGTTGCATCCAGTGTTGTCACCGTTTCATTACCACCTCTGCTGTCACCTCTATATCTGATAGTCTTTCATGTAGGGTAATCTCTCCTAACAATGGGAGCTGCTCAGGCTCGGTTGTGAACACTGCCTGGAAGCTGGCATTCAGTGCCTCGCAGATTTCCTTGTCTCTTTCTGTATATGCCTCCTCTGTTTTCCTTAGTCTTGTCACTTGGTCGTTCACCGACAGTTTTCTTCTTATATGGCTGTGTAGGAATTTAGGTTGCTTTTTCGCTTTAATCACAATAACGTTCTCTTAATTTCTTTCCGATACTCTTCTTCTTACGTGTGTGCGTACTCACCTATTTGTACTCACCTATTTGTGCTCGCGGGGGTTGATCTTTGTCTCTTTGGTCCCGCCTCTCAACTGGCAATCAACTGGTGTACAGATTCCCGAACCTACTGGGCTCTATCATATCTACATTTGAAACTGAGTATGGAGTCAGCCTCCACCACATCACTTCCTAGTGCATTCCATTTACTAACTACTC